AATATTTAAAATAATGATATTGTTCTCACCACTCTTATCATTATTTAGACCCCTAGAACATGTAAATATATCAATTTTATTATCTGGTAAGACCGCCCCCCTCTTAAAAATAAATTTTAGAGTGATCTGTCATACAAGGGGCTGCACCCTGTTCCATTCTTTTGATTATATTTTCAAAAGCAAAACTGATATAGCAAACTACCAAAAAATGATGACATGTGAAGGAGGGAGGGGGGGGGGGAGTATGCAACGTTCAAGAATACCTTGTACAGTACAGTGTAGATAAGATATATATGGAGGAAAGAGGTTTAAAGGTTTGTTTTGTTTTTATGTTTTTAATCTGCTCCATGGAAGTTGCTGTGTCACACTGTACAAGATGAAATAAACCCTGTTTACTTTTTCGAGAATTCGAGAATCGACATGCTTTTTAATAATGAATTAACCGTGTGCTACATGTACAGTGTACCTTTTGCTCCTTGTTTACGACGGGGGTGAAATTAAGTACAAGTATTTAGCTCATCTGTGTACCAACCGATATCTCTACACAACGTTTTTTTTTTATTGTGAAATTGCACCTCTCGTATACAACGTTGTGAAGAGGAACGATAACACAAAACCTTGACATTGTGAAATCTTAAGGTTAAATTCGGTCTGTTCAATACGCGTATCACGTAGATTCTGGTTATATTTCTGCATGTATCAGAACAATAGCTCTACAATTTTGTTTTATGATAACATGAGTGTACTTCGAATTCTCTGTTGGAATAATGTTATAAAAATAAAATAAGAAAAGCAAGAAAGCCAAAAGCCGGCGAGCCACACCGACATGCACACTAACTGCAGAACTGACCATGTACTTTTATGGTGACCGTGGTCCATTCCATTTTTCTCAAACAAGCGAGCACAGGTCTTCAGCTACATGCACACTAAATCATTTTCTACAACTAAAATTGATGCAAAGCATCAAATCGGACGCAAACAAAATTTAGCATTAAAAAAAAAATTCTTTCACAATTTTCAAAGTGTCCATGCAAGGAAAGCACGTCAAGATATTCAAAGGTGAAATAGGTGAATCATTTTTATTTTAGGCTGTCTTAGAGGCAAAATAAATAATTAAATAATATTTAAACAAATAGACATTTTGCTGCATTTGCTTATAAACTGATTCACCCATGGAAAAAAGGTCAGCGATGAATGATAAGAATTTATTGTCATCAAAATGAAGATGTAGGTCTCTCAAGATGAACCACTTGCTGATTCCCTGGATCTTGGTCACGTGATACAAATGTAATACCTATGGCTATGCTGCAAGACGCAGTGCAAAATGTAGAAAAATTTCTTTGTGTTATTTGCAGCTGTAGAGCATGTTCAAACCAATTTTTACTGGTCGAAAATTTTTACAATTTTTACTCACCATGCACTTTAACACGTCATTATTATCCGGAAAATCATGACGATTTCCTTTCATATCTTATACACTCCTAGGATGGAGAGTATCTATTGTAAACTCTTGTTACATAACCATAAATTATCAATTATCTGATGAGAGGTGATAATGAAATTGAAACATAGTAGCAACAATTAATACTAAGTTTAAAGCAACTTTTAGAAATATTTTACTCATGATTTTTACTTGTTATCATTTGAGAAATATTTTCCTGACCTAATGAGAAATAACGTCTCATTTTCCCACGTGCACTTTCTAACACAATCAGGAATAGATCGGCCGCTGCTGCGGCCGATAATAACAACTTCAATCATAATCCTTTTAGTCTTTTACAAAGTTCGATTATTACGACCGTCTTTAAAACTTATGCGCTGAATCGAAACGATTAACTACTGTATACATGTACGAGAAATATTATATATTTACTGACCGAGTTCGAGAGCAACATGCATTTTATCGACATTCGAACCAAACTTGGGTCGAGGGTCGACAAAACTCACTATTGCCCGAGGACACGGGCAAAAAAATGTTTTTTTTTTTAAATATCTTTTATTGTTTTTTTTTACAAGCATGTATCTTGTACTGCGTTCCGTGATGTAAACTTCATATCCATCACTGTTTATCACCAACGAAATCAAATGAGATTAAGGTCCGCCCATAATGTGACGTAAGCGGTCTAACATTTCATCGACAGGTCCAACATCTCACTCAGCGGTCCAAAATCGATTTTTATGTCCACTCAGTAAAACATCAAATATGTTAGACCTTTTTCGTACAGATATGTACAGGAACAAATTCTGAAACCTAAAACAACATTCTTTTCTCTCCACTTCTTAACTATAAGACATACGGCTTATATCTTTGAATAAATCTTATAAAAATGTTTCAATAAGCATTGGTATAACCAAGCAATACATCTCAAATAACGACTTATTTTTATAATAGTAGGGAAAACATTTTTAAATGTGAGCATTTATCATCTAATAATCAATTTCATTTACTGATGTGTCGTAAAATTCACAATATCTCAATACATTGAGATCTGACCGAAAGGTAATTGGCAGAGAGTAAAAAAATCTTAAATGTAAATTTTAAAAAATAAAACGCTGGAAATGGAATGGTGGTGCTTCGTGTTATATAATCACATACATGTAGAATTGGCCGCCGAATAGAGATAGACAAAAGAAGTCCAGATAACACTTTTTTTCTCTGAAGAACAAATGATTAAGGTAGAGGAGAGATAATTTTGAGCTGATTCGCAGTCCGAATGTCCAAACTTCAAAGCCAGTTACGTTGAAAAGTTATAACATAAGAAATGTAATTCAACGAGCAACAAAACCGAATGAGTATTTTTCTCCTTAGGCGTAGTTCCATCTACAATATTTTGTTAAGTCAACTGTTCATGATAAAGTCAAAGAAATTGGTTTCAATCAGTATTTAATAACACGACGATATATCTTTTTAAAAAGTGCAATGAGCAGAGAGACGAAAGATAGAGAAGCAATGACGTCATCAAAAAAGGCGAAAACCTGAGTGGGGTCATCAAACTAACGATAAAATAGTAAACTGTTAAAAGTATGATGGTGACTTTTTTTCAACACTTCCTGTACCTTTCTGTTTCAAGTTCTTTTAAATATTTTTAGTGGCATGAATCTTATGGCATCAGTCCACTAACATATGAAAATTCACCAATAAACAACTATTTTCTCTAATAGATATGATTTTAAAAAAGATTTCAAACATACGAATTGATTCAAATATTTGTCATTAATAATGAAAAATAAATTAGTTAGTATGGTATACTATCACATGTAGAACAATAAATTGCATTTTGCGTATGTGAGAGAAATTCAATGAACCTACATAATGAAAAATGCATGTTAGCTGGATATATTTTGAAATATTATATCCCATTCTTGTTAATGACGTCGCATAAATCAACATCAAAATATCGCAACGTTAACGTAAACAATGCTACCTTTACAGCTATATAAAACATAAATAAAGCTCTGTACAGGTATATTTTGATAATTTTATAAAAATATACACTCTTTAGAAGAACTTAGAGGAATATCATTAATTTTGACCCGGGGCCGAATTTTGCCACAAGTGAACCAGGTTCTTTTAAAGCTAAAATTGTTGAAATTTTGTCCATTTTGTCCTCTTTCTGAAAAAGGATATAAAATCGGACTAGTTTGGGACGTCATAAAAACAAAAATTGTGAATACACTGCTTTGACCCTATAATATTTTCTGTTAATTTACATTTTTCATACAATTTATTGAATTCAGCACATTTCAGGAAGATTTCAAAATTTGACTTTTGTGGGGGCAAATGTATGCAATATATCGCATTTAGTTCTTTCCTCAGAATATATCTTAAATTTTCTTTTTCGACTTTTAATTGATGCAAACATACTGTTAAAAGAATAACAATATTGTCTTGTAATTCAATACTTTGAAACGTATCATCAAGATATAACTATTTTTATCATTATTTTTATCATACGTGGAAATACTGTTTAATACCTTGGCTTCCTCCTCCTGTTTCTTCACATAATCCGGATCTTCCATTGTTGAATAACACTAGTCATAGTATGTCTGCTTCAATTTGCAAATTTGCGTGAAATTTGTTATATGTATATCTGTCATTTGTTGTAGTTATTTGATCATAATCATGTGTATTAACACCAAAAAATGTCATCCCTCTGTTTATATATTAAACTTGGTAGTTCCTTCTAATGTGTAGAATTCTCAGGCATACAAGTATAAGATTATTAAGAGAAAGGGTGAAATACCGGAGGTTATGAAAAAGCGTCTTCCATATTCTAACATCTAAAATACACAAACATAACTACATGCAGGGACATTTTGTATATTTGTAGTAATTAAGGACTTGATCGTTTGATATAAAAACTTCACAGCATTGTTTTAGAATTGTAAATTTTTAGGTCGCCGATGTATCTATATGCCTAGTTGAAGGCATAGTAGGTGTTACATCTTTGTATTGTTTAGACAAATGTATAATAGCTGTATCTTTCAAATAAAAACAAAACTTTTCCAAAAACCTGCATAACTTAGCATCTATGGAAAATCAAAGATTGCTTGGAAAAAATGGTCTAAAAAATCATAGAAATTGTTAATAAGATAGTCCACATTTTTTTTTTTTTTTTTTTTTTTGATTTCATCTTTAGTGCACTTTTGTGTACAATCATAATGTTATACTATAAAAAGAAACTTATTACACCCTCAATTCATTGTACCAATTTGTAAAGACAAATTAACATCTTATTTCAGGCCAAGCTTAAAAAATTCATTGTTTGGAGTTGCCGACTTAAACGTTTTAGACTGGGTAGGCATTTTTTTTAAAATTATTTTCAGATTTTTGATAGATAACAAAAAAAAAACCTTTTCAATGGCCTACTAAACATGAATAAGCTCCACTCTTGTTATAAAACACTGATTGACAAAAAACAAAAGTAAAAAAAATCAAAATGAAACAGTTTCTATATCTTGAAAAATAAAAAAAATAATAATTCACAAAATAACTTTAAAAAGTTTCGGTCGTGTGCATTTTCAGTGGGTTGGTCGGCAACTGCAATTTTTTTTTTTTCGTTTTAGGCCTCATTCATTTTTATATTGTTATTTCTTCATAAACAGAAACATTCACTGCAAGGTTTATTTTACTATACACATTTTCTTCTTGTGTCTTTTTAATTTTGTCATAGAAATGTAATTTTCCGGCTGTCTTGGTGTCTTCCTGATTTCTCTCTTTGTGCTTTTGGTTTCTTTTTTGACGTACTCCAAAAGCTATGGTTATTGTAATTACAATTATTAGAAATACTGAAGCAGTGAGAGGAATCACCATCAAAGTCTTTGGTGTCTGTGAACTACCATTGTCTACAACTATGAAAAAATATGATTTCAATATAATTTTGAGATTTTTTCAATTGAAAGCAAAAACTTCAAATCCTTGGAAAGACAATTTCCTTCTTATCTGTATGTAAAATGTATTTATTTGTAAATTATACCCGGTATTCCTTTTTAAAGTCTAGATTCTATTAACAGCCATATTAGCTTTTATAAAAACATAATCAATAGATTGTACAATTCGAACAACCATAGTTGTAGTTGTTAAGATTCCAACTGGCTCTCTTCAAAATGCCCTTTCTTGTGGTTTCACACATATACATTCAAATTATATGAATACTAAAAAAAACCTAATCTAAATTAATTCTTTCAATATGTCAAAAGCAGTTAAGAGTCAACAGCGAATTGTTTTCTCATAGTTTTTTGAAAAGGTTTTTAATTTGTGGAAAAAGTCAGAAAATGTTGCTCAAGAAGCTAGGCAAAAATACATAAAAGGTTAAATCATCTGTATACTAAAAAAAATAATAAATCTTTGAAAACTTAAAAAGGTCAATACCACTACTTAGGTTTTGATATCTGCATGATCCATTGAAAGCATCACAGTCTGTGTTAGGACATATTGATGGACAAGGCTTGCAAACTTCCCCGTAAGCTTCAGCTCTGCAACCTTCATCAAACCAAAACGTATGTTATACACGTAAAATTTTTTTGACATTAAAATGTTAAATTTTAAATTCTATTTATATGATTTTTTTTTTCTTTTCAAAATTTTTCCCGTTTTGCTCGTCTCATTTTACTGTGCCTAATTGAATAGAGACATTGGTTAATTAATATAAATACAAAACAATTGCTGCTTACTATACTACATACCTATGATCCTTACTTCGCATATTTCAATGGTAGCAAATAAAGGCTCATATTCTGTGCAGTTTGTATTTAGTGGAGGATCTTTTGAATTAAATATAGCTATTCCTTTTGTCAATCGGTTTACTGTTATATTTTCTACTCTGTTTGGGCAGGTAGTAGAATCATGGATGAATACTCTCTCTCCACTGGAGGATGGGGGTATATACTGGGGATCATCGAAAACAAATACTGAAAAGCCGGTATGACGGTCAACTGCTAAATATATTCAAAAAAGTCTACGTCATACTTTGCACGGTGATATTTTGTATTTTTTTAAATAAACATATTTTTATCGAGAAAGAGAAATATACATGATGGATAAAGGCAAGGACACTTTTAGGGCTCTTTAGATAGTGTATATTTTTACTGTATTTTCTTAAGAAGATCTGCAAATATGCAACATTCATAGACTGATTGGAGAAAAACTTCCACCAAGCCGTCTTATAGTAAAGAGCAGTCGTGATGCAACAGGTGTCCGCACCAAGGTGTTCTTCGAGATAACCATCAATTGCCTTGGTAGCAGGCCATCGGTTTCTACTGAATGAGTTACTTTGTGAAGCAACACCTTCATATTTTACGTCCTGGGCGAGGTTTTCTGAAATATACATGTACATATACAGTGGGTACTTCTTCATAAACACGTAACTATATGTTTTTTAGCATTTCATTGAATGAAAATATCATAGTGCTTGTAGTAATTTTACATGGATTCCAATTTTAATTTTAAAAAAAATGCGGAGAGTTTGAATTTACATATAAAGTATCGGGTTTATATCATTTATATAAACTGTAGTAAGTGATGACTTAAAATGAGATGAGCATATCTAAGGTATACCTTTACACAGATGACCAAAAATTCCACTGTTATCCCCCTGTTATTAATATTATATGGGGTCAATGATTAAATTATTGAGATATGTTATCTGGAATGATTTTTGTTCATATTTTTGAATTTCTTTATTTCACAGCATTCAATTATTAGAAATAATTCATGAGCTTTAACACATAATATTTGCAAAATGATGTTAAAAATACATGTTAACCTTAATTTGTGATAACATTGCAAGTAAAAAATAACAAACGAAAAAAAATGACAAAAATGAAGAATTAAAAATTTAGTAAGAATTTCCTCTGTATCACCATACCTTGACTTTTGATCCTGTATTTTTCTTTAAAAAGTAAAAAATAAAAATTTTAAATTGATATTGATTTGAAACTTTGTTAATATATCCATGTAGAACAATTTTTGATTTAGCATATTATACTTTATAAATTTCCTTTCAGTTTTCTGAAACCTGAGTAGACGTCATCCTTAAACGGTAGTGATTAATTTAAACATCTGACATCTCTTCATATAAATATATGACACTAGATTGATAACAGAAATGAGCGTTTTTATTGCCGCAGGTAAATGCCAATAGAGTGCCAAAGGTATAGAATTAGACACTCGTATATCGTAATAAAATAACCTTTTCTTCATGATCGTGTTGTGCAATTTCTCAGAATTGACAAAAATCAACACCTGTTCTAGAGCTTTTTAAGATTGGCTGGTCGCAAAAAAAAAAACCAAACAGAGACAAAACAGCTGGTAGATATAACCTAATAATCCGGATTTGCCCACGATTTCCATATCTAAATATGTTACTTTGTGCCTGTGACTTTCTTTGCATTTTAAACAATCACTATTGTAAGATGTTGCTGAATGCACACGTATATCTTGTTGGATCGACAATGTTTATAACATAAAAGAGCTTATCTTTAACGTATTATGGCTACTAGGAGGAAAAGAAATCAAGAATAGTTTGACGAAGAACAAACATAAATGTTTAACGAAGTGACTAAAATATAAAAACAAAAAAGAACCTAAAAATGCATTGAATTTCTTAAGTGACAATGGAAAACACGTGATTTAATGTAATGAGTTAAATACGTTATTGAAAGAAACAGCAGGGAAACTGAACTTCCTGTTAGAAAAAAAATAATAAAAGTGCTAACAGCTCTTAAACACTTAATGTCCCTTGCAAGAATGTTTAACTCATGAGACATCTAACATGTACCGGCGAAAAACTGGTGCACGTGTAACCTTATCATTTTCAAAACTGAGAGGTCGCCCGCGCTGTGCAGTAGTTAGAGCGTTTGCTATAGAGTCGTGAAGTAAGGACTTGTTCCTTATGTCGCGGGTTTGAATCCTACCGTGGAAAGCGGAAACGGGTCCTTAGAATGAGACAGTATAAACCGATATCCTGTGTCGCAGTAGTAACTGGCACGAAAAAGATCCCTCATTGCTCAATTACTTTAAAGGTTAGTGTAGGACAGAATTCATAGCTTTTACTTGGCTTGTGGTGGCGTCCCCATATAAATGAAAAATGCTCAAGAGCTAGGGAATCAAACAGCACAATCAATCAAAAAATCATTCAAGACAGCGCATTATTTTTGTTTTTAAAAACTACTGGCTTACATTTGATTGTGTTTATTGTCAACATAAAAGTAACACTTCATAATAGTAGTGGAAACAGTGATAGGGATGAATTAATTCAAAACTACATGTATGTTGATTAGAAGCAATACAGTCATAAAAAAAATCTTAAACATAATGCGTAAAAACTATTATAATTTCGTAGAATTATTTAAGGAATGACTCTAATTCTTGGCCAAATTATTCGATGATAACCTGGTTTTGGTCAGTTTACGCTTTATAATCCGCGAAGCGGACTATAAAAAGCGTAAACTTACCCAAACCAGGTTATCATCGAATAATTTGGCCAAGAATTAGAGTCATTCCTTATAATTTAATTTTAAAATACTGTAAAAGTACTTTATTATTAGTATTATTAGTGGTATTAATTTACGCTATGTACACGGTCACAAATTTTCCGCGGAAATTTGTCCAAGCGTACTTATTATAAATGTAAGGCAATTAGTGACAATCTAGGAAATCCACGTAATTTTCTACTTGTGGGTTAAACAGAAATTTAAGATTCCGCGGAATTATGACCCCGTGGAAAAAAGTACGTCTACAGTAATTAAACAACTGTTGTTGTAAAATTGTGTTGCTTTTTATGACTACAAATTTGCCGCTCAATAATACATCCCTAGTAACGGAAGTGATATGAAACAAGGGGAGATAATAACTGACATACAGATCTAGCAGGCATAATGTTTGTGTAGACGAGGTAAGATCGAGCTACTGTTTGAAGTTAAAGGTACATTTTTAAGTCTTGAATTTCCCATGAATTACAAGGACTGGAAATGAGGGAATTGTATGGATACAGATGATTCAGCTGGTTGTCAAGGGGGTGTGTCCCCATACCACACCAGGTTATTAAGAAATAATTTGCGTTCCTTTTTGGTAATCAACCAACAAGAGACTAGAATACAAACAAAATTAAATTATTCTTTGATAAAATGATTTTATGTTTAGATTCAGTAAAATACCTACCAAACGATTCTGATACCACAACAAGAATAAGTCCAATGGAAGGATTTTCTACTAGAACCATTATGTCGTACATGTATCTTAATTTCTGTTTTAACAGACTGATCCTTAGTATGCTTAGTCTTTACCTCTGTGGGAATTATGTGTGATACATTATTAGATTACTGTCAACCAGTTGAAGGTTTGTAAAGAGATAATGCATATTTTGATTACAATTATCACTAATGGGACATGAATGGATATACCCAATGAGCATGCACATGTTAAATGATGTGTTTAATTTAATATTTCCTTATAAAGTGATGCATTCATGATTTAACAATGACAATACACACCATTTGAGAGAATAAGGAAGTGTTTGAACGGTTCAACATATATTGAATGTTTTGTCCTAAACATGTTTGAATAAAATTTTAAAGAAGAAAACTATAATTTGCAACAAACTTTCCAAGGCTTACAAAGATATAAGGTTAATAAATAAAAAAATATATATACTTTTACCATTTTTTCTATTTGAAGAACGGAAACCTGCTATTATTTACTCATTTAAAATTAAACAAGGACATTTTACGTTTTATCAGCACTTAACAAGAGGCTTAATTACATGTATTTAATGGGTAATAGAAATGAGAATGAAATGTTGCCATACAGCAACATTGAATAAAAATAATATCAAGTTCAGGATCATCGGAAAGACCATTTCTGAAGGTATTAAGAAAAAAATCAACATATGTTTCAGAATAGCCATCAAGTTTAAAGTTTGTGTTCATATTGACATTTAAAGATCCAAGATGCACAATGGCAGATTTGCCTACCTATGACAATATAATGAGAATAAAACAAATTATGCTTGAACTACAATTAAGCCTGGAAAATTTTTGGAGTCTTTTCGTTTGAAATGAAATGGTTATGACAATAAAAATGCACATTATTTATAATTCAGTTGCTGTTAAGAATAACTTTCCGATTACTAAAGCTTGCTTAAATTCTAAAAACGGAATCAAGGCATGATCTTATTGTTTGATTGTGAGGAATGACTAAAAGATAATATTTTAAAATTTTATTGCGTTGTTAGTTCCGAATGAACACAATCTAGTATTTTGTTACAATACAAAGAATTTTTGAACATGACGTTAACATTTTCATGGTTACTCAAATAGTACATTGCTATGTATTAATTTAATAGTAGAACTGTCACAAGTTGCATAGAAATTGTGATTTCTATTCCAAAATGAATTTTACATGCGCTGTAGAAAATTCCTCACATATCGTGTAGTCTCCTCATATATTTGCGTATATTCCATTGTTCGAAACAGATCGAGCGACTAGTTCGTAACATTTTCTAACCTCTTCTAAAAACAAGAAATAGAAAAAAAAACCAGTCTTATGATGTACAATAACTAAAAATAACAGAGTTATATGTATGTTGAAGTGTTTGGACGATTCATATCTTTAAAAAAACAGAATCAGGAACGAGGATTCATTCGGGGGCATACTTTTTTCCACAAAATACTTTATACTATTATAACAAATGTTCCTTGAAATCCCCTCTTCCAACCGCCACCACTTTCTAAGGCTGTTTTTTCTAAATCGTTGTTACAAGTTTTTTGCTGCCCTTTTTAAAAACGATGCTAGTTGTATTGTTTCTGACTCACCAAAGTTGTTATTACCTCCGGTCTTCTAACACGCAGCTGTCTGACAATAGTTAGATATATTCACCTCTCCGTCCATACGAAGCTGTTCAAGGGCGTTATGTAAAACACAGAACACCCCAGCAGGACCAGCACCATCCCTGTGTAGAACAATACATGGATGATTAGCTGTATTTTCGCATATATAAGTACATGTAAGACCAAAATAAATGGTTATATGAACTCTTAAAAATTACTTGATAAATGTATTGTCAATAAAAAGAAATACTGGAACATCGTAAACATACTTGCTCAAAGTCAAATTAGATTCCTTTTCTTTTCCCTACATGTAGGAAATGAAATTTTGGTGCGTTTGTTGGCATCACAGTATTGCAGTATCTTTCTTATTATACTTTAGGAATAAATTTGTATACTAGTATATGGTTAACACGCTTATAATGAATTCACTATTATATAAAGCAATGAAACATATGGAGATAACAAAAAGTATTAAAGATCAAAAGTCCATAAAACAATACAAAATAGGATCAGAGCAAACGCGGATTTTTC